AATTACACTTCACTTTAAAAATGTAACACAAATGGGAAACATCAAATATATTCTAATCCGTAGAATCCTTTCTTATATTAAATTTGGAGTATTACTACACCAATAAATTCAATGTCAGCGTGTAAATCCTTAAATACAATCAAAGTCCATCGGTGGCTTTAAAATCTTGACTGCAAGAAAGATGCCCATAATTGTCATGTGATATAGTCCTAAAGCGAGTAAAGATATAAAAGTGATTTTGATAGCCTGTCTCCAATGTCATTAAAGAGTGATTCACGTAAAACATGACTTCCTACAAAACAGAGGCAAAATGATATTCGTGTCGTGTAACCTAGAAATGATTACAACAACATAGATTAAAACACATCGAAATGTTTGGTTAGCATCTTGATATAAGAGCTATATTTTGGCGAAGGGGAAAAGGACAAATAGGCTCACCATATTTGTCTTCCTGTCCCGATCATGTGTTCTATTTACCCTGCAATACTGATTAAAAATCAGACAATCAAAACGTCTACACTTTTGTTTTTCAGTTTTTTTCCTTACCTCACGTTGACGTTTAGCTGAATTTTGCCTGATGACGTACGCCAAAATTATTGCTCCGCGTAAAAATGTAGTTCTAAACTTCTATAGATATAACAGCAGTTTTATTAGTTTTCGTATTACCGTGTTAATAATAACAAATAAAACCACTCAGTTCAACTGTTTATTTTTATTGTTTAACGAAATTTTTATGTTATTTAGAAAGTAAATTTGTCGAATTAATGCACGTGCTAAAATAAAGCTGTTTTCCGTCTCTGCCGAATGCAATTAAACTATATGTGGCAAGGGTATTCCGACAACGGCAGCGCCAGTTGCAGGATGAAATATAATACAGATATACAACAAACGGAATATAACATGAATGTTTCTATGAAGTGGTTAAAATCTAAGCAAAATTCAAATATAAGTTTCTGTCTGTCTGTTTGGTTGTCTGTCTGCGTTTACCTTTTGGTATAGCTTTCATCTCTGATTTCAAGTGTTTCAGTTTGGTCGTTATTACAGGGTTTTTTTTCATATGTAGGGTCTTCATTATTATTATTACATTCTTAACGGCCCGTCTATACATAAAAAGGTTTTTTGGGCCATCAACAGGTGAAAGACACAGCGATCCAAAAAGGAAATAACGTCAAATAAACTAAAAGGTAAAAGATAAATGCTAAAAATCTTAAATAGTTGTGTTATATTATGTTAAAATAGTAAATCATATTCTATAATAAAGGTCAACATCTTTCGGATAATCTATAATTTTATAGATATAAACAGATTCAAAAAGGGTCTTAAGACTTGTAGCATTACGATAAAAATGTTCTCTCACAGAAGGTCAATGCAGTCCAATAAAAATGTATAACGGTGAATGGCTCGTCACATCCTGTTCACCGAGGATTATCTTAGCCTTTCAGCATATATGGATGTGTAAGGTAAGTTTGGCCCATCCGAAGACGGGCAAGGACAACTTCATCTCGGTGGTTGTCTCTATAGCATGGAGACCATTCATCGACGATTGGTTTTACGGAATGAAATTTATTATCGGTATATTTATTCCGTTCCTTCTGCCACCGAGCTGTTAAAAAGTGTTTGATAAATGGTTTAAAATCAGTAAAGTTAAGTTTTAAAACAACAGGTGGTTGCAATAAAGCTTCCTTTGCGGCATGATAAACTTTCCCATGGCCTGGTATTCCCATGTGCCAAGGAACCCAGCAAAAATAAAATACAAAAGTTTGAGGCAAGTTCATGGCATAATATTAACGTATTACGAATGAAAATATTGGCGACATTTCTATTGCTAAGACTCTGTAGCAAAGAAAGTGAGTTTGAATGGATAACAGCTCTCATTGCTTTGTTTCTTTAAATATACTCAAGGACGAGGTAGAAAGCTCGCGCTTCCGCCGAGAATAGTGAGGTGTTGTTCGGTAGCCGGCATCCATACGCTTTATCTTGTGAAACTATGGCCGTGGCAACCTTATCATTATCTTTTGAACCATCAGTATATAGATGTAGAATTTTTTTTTATATTCGAACTGCAATTTCGAATAGGATGAACGGAAGGCGCATCTGTCAGTGTCTGATTTAACCATTTCATGAAGTGAAAAGTAAATAACATGTGAATTTAAGAACCAGGGTGGAATTTCTATCGTTCCAAATGACTGAATTTGGTCAATATCAATGTTTGTGTTTAGAAAAAGAATGGAAATCCGAATACCGAATGGTAGAATGGTCCTTGGTTTGTTTTGAAAGAAAGTTTCACATTTTGGATCAAATACAGGTGAAAGGAAAGGTTTTAAGGAATTTACTGTAGCTGAATTGTGTATTGCAAAGCCATTTTATTTCAACGGCTATATGGTGATGGTTCATTAGCCTCTAAATAGAGGCTTTCTGTAGGTGTGGTCTTAAAAGATCAGAGAACGAACTTCAGACCCTGGTGATGAACAATGTTTGATAATTTGAGCTATGAAGGTCTACAGATCTATACACAATTGAACTGCAGTCTAATTTGGATCTAACAAAGGCTCTAGACTTCGCAAAACTTTTCTATCAACTCCCACACCAGCGTGGGACACTACTTTTAGAATTTTCTGTGTTTTAAGGCATTTGGCTTTAAGATATTTTATATGTTGAAGGACGATAATTTCCTGTCGAATGTTACACCTAGAAATTTGGTCTGCTCAACAACTGGATTGGGCACACCACAAAGAAAGAGTTTTGGATGTGTTGTTACCGCATTTGGCAAAAACTGTTCTTGATTGCGAAATTTAAATCCATTTTCTTCTACCCAAATATGAAGTATATTTAAACACTGTTGTAGTTGTCTTTCAATGGTATTCATATGTTTACATCAATAGCATATAATGAAGTCATAAAGAGCGCCCTCCATTGAAGGGAAGTAACTGGAGGGATCTGTCGTATCTTTACCCTGTTTGGAGATAGGAATTACAGTTGCCTTTTTCCCGTGACCTTGGGACATTACCCGATCTAAAACTGTAATGAAAGATATCAAGAATTTTTTTATCCTAATGATAACTCTGGTCCCGCTGCAGATTCATGTGATTTTTTCAGTGATTCCCAAAGTTCTAACATTGAGAAAAAATGATTACAGGTTTCATTGTTTTCGGAAGATAATTTCAGTTTGGTTTTTTTCTCATATGGTCTTAAATTTTTAAAAGTTTTTCGAGTAATTATTTGCAGACGAATGTTTGGGAAAGGCAGATCCTTAAGCATTTGCGATATCAAATTTCAACGTGGCTAATCTTCCGTTTGTTTTCAGATGTCCCTTAGTGTTTTTAAGGATGCTTTACCACTGATTCGTTTAATCATATCCCAAACCTTTTTGGTGGATGAAAAGGAATTTAATTTGGAAACATAAGATTTCCAAAAAAAATTTGGGCTTTTGCCCTAATAATATTATAGTTGTTTAAGTTATCGCCTGTAAACCACAAACCTAGCCCTCATACTCGGAGAGACATGGAGACGGGAAATCTGCAAACAACCAATCACGCGCTTATCCTCCGGAGAGAGAAACCTGCAGACAACCAACCACGCCCTCGTTGTCCACGAATACCGTCTCCAAATAGATGCAAAACCCCAAACAAATGAATGTTTTGCTCCCTTGGCGTTTGCATCTGATGGTTTGTACATCATAGAAGGAATCAAAGTCGTATGTTTTAGACTAATCAAACTTCACTGATGAGATTTTAACACTATAAAATTGACTTATGTGACCTTTGATGCAGGTCACCGTGATTTCTTTGGAGTTACTTAAGGCAGACAAAGTAGAAAGCTGAAGATAATATCAAGGATATGACAAAAAAAAGTAAACTTTGTTGAGATAAAAAGTGTGATATTGACATTGAATCAGTCATCCATTCGGATAGACTTAATCCATGATTACCTAAGTCATATCCATGTTAATTTAGCAATTCAGAGGTCAAGGGTCATAAAAGTTCGCTTGTATCAAGTTATGGTAAAAAAAAACCAAGAGGCCCATGGATTTAAGAGACAGTTAAGAAATGACGAAAACAGTTAAGAATATTTAAGTAGTAATGGTGAAAACGCTCTTAATTTCAGTTTACATCACTTACCAGCACAATAACACCAATGAACATTAGACGTTTCAAATATTTTTTCCCCAAGATTATGGTCATGGCCGCCATATTGGATTTCGGACCGACTCCTTGAGGAACAACATTAGTCAAGACCATCTCAGGATCATGCCAGCTGAATACCACTGTCTGAACTTGGAACTATGTTTGTAAGATGGTGGCCATGGCGTCCATATTGGATTTCGGACGGATAAAAATATCAACACTATATTTGGACCATCTCAGAATCATTTCAGGCAAGTTTCTGAGCAATGTTACCAGTAGGAATTGAAAATAATTTTAAAATAGGTATTAAACTTTTGACAAGGCTAAAAAATAACATTTTGTCGTCTTCCCTTCCTTAACATCCCAATCAATTTCCAGGTCAACTGGTACCAGTTGAACTTATGCATAGGTTGATAATTTGCTTTTAAAAATGGCGGCAAAACTGGATTTCCAACCAACCGAAAAAATAACAACACTTGTCAGGACCGTCTCAGGATCATTTGAGTGGTCGGTGGCGCACGGATTCGATTCCTGGAATGGATGTGAAAAGGTAAGGGGTCATCTGCCCGACCACGTGGGATTTCCCTGGGTACTCCGGTTTCCTCCTACAGTAAGACACATCCGGGCCAACAAGAGTTATTAATATAAGTTCGAAAAACTTGCTTTGGAATTGTTGTTTGATAAATATTATTATCATCAGGATCAGTTCAGGCATACGTTAGCTCAATCTCTGTGGTGGATCTTCAGAAGACGTTAAAAGTGTGAAAAGTTGAAGTATAAAGATTGAAAAAACAGGATGGCTAAGGTCATTTTGGTCTGATGACCTAAGTACCTTATAGGCACTTCATGTCTTGTGAACAACAATGAAACACCATCATCTGCTAAATAGTTTTATTAATTTCTTTCATTCACTTACAAAATCGGTCATGTTTGATATAATACATCTCACATTCTACACAGAAGTGGCACTACAATAAACATATAACAATGTTTTACGAAATTGTCAGAGAAACAAATGAAGTCAAAATAAATTAGAAAAAATAAACAATAACACTTAGCCTCCATTTCGGTTTATCACAAAACTTTTCTTCCATATATTATAAATATGTTTATTTGATAAATTCATTTAGCATTAAATAAAACGTCTAAGAGAGTGGATAAACAATTTTATAGGAATATTTTTTGACTTCAGAAACTTAACCTTTGGTTTGAAAGTATTGAAATAAATATTTAAATGTGATATAAATTATTATATAATAAAACAACCGGTGTTTTTATATCACAGATACTGTTGGCTAAAATCAATTCATAGATTTTACATCTATTCAAAATTAAAGAAACACATACATTAAAACCGTGTTCATTATTTTTAAATGAACATTAAAACAACAAGGGACTCATTATCAATTTGTCTTTCAGTAACTACAAAAAATTTTAAATGCATAATGAAATTTTCTTATAACTGAAATATTATTATTATATGACAGAAACAAACATCACCATACGCAATTTGTACATTTATCAAGTAAATCTATTTCATTCATAAACACAATGCCAGGTCTATCATCTGCTTATCTTTCGAACTGTTCCATATCAAATAGTATTGTGAGAAACATATATGATAGAATATTATGACGAATTGAAAAAAAAAAGAAATTATGAAAATAAAACATGACTGTTTTGTATCTTATTCCGAGTATGAATCAAATCCCAGGTACTCATTTCTACCACCATCATATATTCACAGATCATAAAATGTCCTTTGGGCATTCACACAATAAATGCATTATGGAAAGGTCATATCGCTGTATAGAACAAATGAATTTTCCTTCTTCACAAACACATCAGATTAAGCACTTTCCTGGTTGAATGATGACTATGTTACATAGAAGGCCATATTTTCTTAATCAAATCTTTCAAGAAACAATTCCCAATGTTAAGGGTGTATGCAGCCTTACAAAAGAGTTCCGAATTCTGATTCTTGATAAAAAAAATCTGCAGACAACGTACAAAAAGCAATGTCATTGATGGACTGTGAAAACAATGCAGAAACTAACGATGTTTAACTAATTAGGATCATAAAATTTCTTCACCAGGAAGATAACATCTACACTGTAGAAAACATGAGATTTTATTTGTTCTTGACAAAAATGTATATAAATTGTGATCCTACAGGTGATTCGGTTATAAAAACGTCCATGTTTTGTATAACATGTTTCATTTTCATGAGGAAAATAAATATTTTAAGAAAACTTAAATCAAGTTCGTGTTGATATGATTCTGACGGAAATAACTCTTAAGAGACCAAATGCAACAATAATGATCCACAGCTCTGACGTTTGGGTTTTAATGAAAGATTATGAACATTAAACTTAAAACATTAAGGGCTACTTTCATAAATGTATGTTTACAAACCACTGTGTTGATACTTTCTTTAATGGTACCAATAATTGATTTCATTTCGATTAAAAAAAATGTTTATTATGAAATGATACACATTAAATTTGCACAAATCCTCACTGATCTTTAAGCAAACAGAGCAATAATATGCTGCATTTTGAAATAAAAATTGGAACAATTAGAAAATGACGTGTGCTTCATCCATATCACAAGGGGAGGAATAGTGAAGTGTCATGAAATCATGCCAGAAAATGAAACGTCTGGATGGAAAAGAAAACCCATACATTTGGGAAAGCCTCAATCAAAGTACCAACACAGTATACAAAATATACCAACAATGTCTTACCTTACTTTGAAACTTTAGCACTTAAAGTTACTTCAGTTTTGATAGCACTCAAAGTGAAATTTCAGTACCAAAAGTTAAATTAAAATACAGCTTTGTTGAGGGTATATCAAATAACTTATTGTATCTCATTTTTGTTTAAGTCTTAAAACAAAAGTTGAAAACAAAAAAAAATTTTTTTTTAACTTCAGGTTCAGTTTCTTACAAAAGATAGATAAATGCAGTTCCTCATAGGATTTCATTCAACTGTAAAATTTGGAATTTTTTTAAATCTAAAACTTTTCATATGTATTTCATTTATAAAACATTTTTCAATATCCACTATTATTACCCCCCCTCAGAAGAAGCAAACATTAAAAAAAAAAAAAATTAAACTACATGATTATTCTATGCAAATTGTTGCTGCCATTTCATACTCTTTTCTTCACCGACAAAAGTATTCTTTAAACACAACCACACAGAAAATACACATCACACAAATATTTCCTGCACTGATTTTTACATGATATTTCACGGTAACCGTAGTCAACATTTGCAGGCTATTTTTTTCATACAACTCATTCAATAACATGTCCATAATAAATACCGAAATTGTATGGTTTGAATGCGTAACTATTTCAAGTTCTTCTAACAAGACAGGTCTGAGGAATTTGTCTCCCCTTGATTTACTAGAGGCATAAAAATACTCAATTCTAAGATAAGTTTTCAATGCAAAAATATTACACTTAAAAGATTCAACAAATAAAATATGAATACATATATCAGAAATGGCTACACAAAACTTACAAAAGTGAATATGAAAACCTTTTGCCACATACTGATGAGAAAAGAACTGAGACAATGTGAATCACATTGTTCAGATTCAAGTGCACAAAACCTGGTAACACTATTTTTTGTGTTTAACTATCACTTCAATTTTAACTCTAGATAAAAACCACATACAATAACAGTTACTACATGTTTTTTGTCATTCACAAAGGTCTAGATGAACTCGCATGTATTCTTGGGATTTCATATATACAGAAATATCAAGAATATGGCTACAGAGGTTGATTTTATAGTATAACGATAAGCTTCTGGTGATTGCTCAAACCGATATCTCTACTCGTCATCTTCTTCCTCTTCTTCAGCCTCTTCTTCAATCTTGGCTGCAGCAGCTTTTTTTGATTTCCTACCGCGTTTCAAAAATTCTTTCCCATCTTTGGCGGTCTGCTGCATTGTTCCGGCACGTTTCATAGCGGGCTTCGGATTCGATTGAGATCTTGTTTTTCTACCTTCACTAACATTAATATCAGGAACTACATAGGCCGCTGGAAAAAAGAGAGAAGACAAAAATGATACAATATTGCTCCAACACAATGGCTACAATGCAGATTCCTGAAACCAAACTTGCAACTTAAACAGTGTGTACATTGTCCTGTTAGAACTGTGTATTGAGTTTTCAACTTTATACACATAGTTTTGTTTGGAATATTCTTTAAAAACCACCATGATCAATATGAGCATTTGCCGATTACGACTACTACAGAGGAAACTATTCAAATGCCTGGGGGTTTTACTAAAAACAACATCACTCCTACTGAAATTAATTACTTCATTATCTTTCTTATCTCCAATATATGTTAACATAACCAATAAAGTATGGAGATAGGTTGTCTGTTGAATTTTATTAAGGTGAAAAACATGCCATTTGTATTCTGTGAGTCATCCTCACTGTTGTTGGAACTCATGAGTACACTCAAATAATCCTAATATTAATCCAATATTTACTGATTTTTTTTTTGGTTACTACGGTGAGGTGTATCTGAGTAATATTTATTACACTGTAGGAGAAACATGCAGAAAATTGTGTTATCAAATGTTCGAAACTGAATTTTATACTTGACTTGATGTTGTTCATAAATGTTGAGTAGGGTTCTTCACTAGTATTGAGAATATCGAGTATACCAAAAGCCAACACCAGAGAGACCCAAAAGACACTAATTTACCAGTATATTGAGTAATTAACACATAAGTATCATTTGTGTAACTATTGCTACAGTCTGTATTAAAACTGTATTCCAGTCATGTTGCTGTCACTTTATCCTACATTATTAGGTCACACACATTTTACATCTTCATTCCTACCTTCTCCTATTGTCTTGGCAATAGACGTCATTTTCTTGGGTGATCCAACTGCAGACTGCCTCAAAGCCTTAGATTCTGACCTTGTGTCCCCAAGTTTGTCCTTTCCAATGTAATATGCCTTTGCCTCCTGTTTTGAATTAATATATTATGGTTAACCATATTTCGTTAGTATATAAATATTCTTCAAATTCATTGTTTTCCGTTTCAAAAACATTTTGTTCAAAATACAGGATAACATTTGTTGAAGTAAATGCATCAAAAGTAGAATGTTCAATTGAAATGAAGAACAGCCACTACTATCAGGGTATTCTCTTCTCTTATTCATTCTCAAGTCAAAAATTTGGTGTCCCATTCTGAAATTCTGAATTCCTTTCCAAATTGTCTAAACCATGTCTGCCAAATTATGTCAGTGCTTGTCTGTGTGTAGTCACGAAAAGAACATCTATGTAGTTACTATTATCAAATCATTAACTTTAATCTCTCTGGAAACAGAGAAACCCCTATCTGTTTTCACTTCAAACCACAATGTGCAACTCTGAATGATTTGCAATCTTATCTCTTTTTGCTAAATAATAAATATCTGCCACTCACCTTAGCTGTGGCAGCCATTGTGCCTTCTTTGGACATGCGAGGTTTTCTCGTTGGGGTGGGAGGAGTTTCTTTAGAAATTTCATCCAGTTTTTTCTGCTGGCCTCGAGTCATGGCATCAGCATCTGGTTTGTTGTCACCCAAAATTTGTTCAGCTTCCTAAAGAAAAAAATAAAGAAAAGAGAGTTACCTCCCCTGACACAACATGATAGGACAGATATTCTTTCTTGTCATTGTTCAAAATGTAGTTTCAACTGCGAAATAACATCTCAAAATATTGTGTTTGTTTTCCACTAGTCATTATCAATATATATGTACATGTTTATCACTTCTGTATAAAACCTCTAGAATCTAGTCATGTTGTTATCCTTTATTCAGTCATCTTGGTCCAAGAAATTTTCGTATTGATAGTCAACTTAACAAACAAAAGTAAATGAAAGCTGGTCATATGTTCTAGTACATCTCATAAAAGTGAAGTCATTCTATGTATTGTAATTTAAATCCAATGTATCGTAAGTAAAATCCTATGTATTGTAATTTAAGTCCTTTGTATTGTAATTTAAATCCTATGTATTGTAATTCAAATTTAGGTACTGAATTTTCACTAAAGGCCTCCTGAATTAATAATGCATTGTTATTTAACTAATATAAAGTGTATGCCATGAATATCTGTAGAATGATCAAACAACTTTGGTTCATATCTTTACTGAACAGCTATATAAACATGGGGTGGGCTTATTACAGAACAATGAAATAACTTTGGATAATATTGTTACTGAAAAGTCATATAAACCAGAGGTGGGCTTATCTACAGACATGGGCTTGTTTCAGAATAGATATGGTTATAATAGCAGTGCCAAGCTTTACCTGAGCAGTACCAATCATTGTTACTCCCTTTGCCATTCTGGGTTTCTTTGCTGGTGGTTCTTCCTTGGCCATTTCCTGAATCTTTACATTCTGACCTCTTGTCCTGGCATCGTCATCAGGTCTGTTATTGCCCAATAAAGCATCAGCTTCCTAAAATTCATGCCACAAAAACATCAGGAAAACACAAAAGACAGCACTGACCACACATTTACTTTTACTTTATTTATGATGCCACAATTAGCATATGATTAATTTTGTTTGGCCTTATATGGACCATAAATAGAATACCTTTGCTGTTGCTACCATAGTTCCATCTCGTGCTACATTAGGTTTGTCAGCCTTTGAATCCTTCAGTCCTTGCATTTCCAGGAGTTTGTCTTTACCTGCTGCTTCCAAGTACCCTATACCCTCCTGAAATATCAAAATGACAATTTTATCAAACGACTATGGAACTGAAAGTCATGATTATCTGTATCATAAATATTTCATAAATATTATACATATTATGCGATAAAGGTGATTTTCAATCACAGCGTCAGATTTATTGAATAATATCAGCCTGCCATTCAGTGAATCTACCAATGTTATATTTTCACCTATATTACTTACTTGTGTAATATACCCTAGAGCTTTTTTCATTGGCTGGACTAGTCGGAAATCAATTATGACATCATAAACTAATATGGAAAACGAAATTTTATCGTGAAATGGTGCAACAAACTGACTGTCTAGGTCCCATTTTGTCATCTACATAATGACTTATCATCAATGTGATAAAATGATGTTGTCATTTCATATAAGATTTTATGAAAATTTTCAGTTTCAATATTTGCTCCCCAAGACTCACAATAATGAGATCTTCCAAGACTTATTGCATAAAATCTAAAATTGAAATGAAAACTAATTTCAGATACGGTATGAAATATACTGACATTTCATTTTACTTTTACAGGTATCATAATAAATGGTAATAACTTCACCTAAAAACTATTTAAGGACTTGAAATGATCAGTGATTTCTGAAAACAATAATGACAGGAGGGAAATCAACATGTTTCCAATAGTAAAATGCAATACTTATTTGATAGATGCAACACATTTTGATTTCGTACAAAAAAGGCAGTTGAACACTGAATATTTTGATTACTACATCTTATATACAGGGTGAATCTAATGGCATATATTACAGTATTTATTCATTTAAATGGCAATTGGATTTTTCTATAAGTTCAAGAGAAGATTAAATCAAAATCACATTTTTTTTTGTACAAATTCAATAACTTTTTTAGGATTCTTTGAGAGAGTCATGAGCACCAATTCAAAAATTTTGATGATTCCTAATATTGAGAGATAAAGCAGGATCTTAAAATTTGAGTGAATCTTGCAAGAAAAGCATTAGTCTGGAATTCAAATATCAGAGTCTTAAAAACCACTGACATTAAATGTTATATATCAAATGAAGGGAGAAACTAATCCTTGATGCAGGTCAAATGAAAATTAATTTAAAGATGAAGCTTAATACAAACAAATGGTTGAAACAAGTGTTTTTTTTCTCTCTCAAGTATAACACTTTTATTTATAGTCCACCGCTTCACTCAAGCTGATATCAAGAGAAGAGTTTCTCGGTCTTAACGTAACGTAAACATCAAGTCTTGTGTGTTTTGGTTTTTGCCACACAAATATTATACATTACTAATAACAGGAGAAAATACTCGGATACACAATAAAAAACCGCTTGAAACGTCTATACAAAACAAGACTTGCAGAACGGACTCAATGCACGCGTGCCCAAGCTTGTTCAAACACACGTGTCCACATACACACGGGGAAACACACCCACTAATAGGTTTACTTGATCAGCGAGTTTTACAGACCGGATGAAAATTAGTCAAGCATTACGACATGACAGCGTGTAAACGATCGATTTTGTAGTCTTTTGAAGTCAGCAGACGGTCCCCGCAAACAGATAACTCTTGGTTTCGCTTCCTTCGCTGTTCAGATACTAAAAATACTATCCGTTTCCCTATCTTGACCTTTGCAAATACGTCAGCCATCTTGGAAATATTTAGGTAGCGATACAATAAATTACACAGCATTTGTCTTCACAACTTAACACAACTGTACCAATAGATATTGCAAGTTCATTCGCATTTCATTGAAAATGCAATCATATATCTTAACAGTGATGCAAGATGCCCGTTTGTGCAAAAAATATTTTCTCTAACAAGCAATCACAAGACAGTACGCAATGGCTGAAATACGAGGCCGATCTTTCTAAAACTGTCAGTTTTCAACTCGGAATTTCAAAGGTGCATCAACAAGGATTTTTTCCCTACCTTGGCAGTAACCTGCATGGTACCATCACGGGCCAAACTGGTCTTGGCATCAGACATTTTGAAAAGTAACTCTTGGTATACGAACGAGTTGAAAACACCTACTTCGATGTCAGTTCTTCACATGTACTGCTGAGTCGGCGATGGAAGGCGTGGTCACGTGGTCAGCAACCGATATTTTCATTGGTTAACGAAAAAGAGATTGGTCTTGACCGGGGAAAATGAAAATAGACCCAACATGTGCTTGTGTTTTGGTATCAAAGTTGTTTGTTATCTTTACATATATGTGCACAAATTCCATTAAATGATGTCGAAAATGTTGAATTATGACATATGTTTTATTGATAAGCATACATCGGAGTGTAAGATTACCAAATTGTGAGACTCGAAAGAAAAAATGTCAATTTATGATAAAAAATATGTAACAGAATAAAAGAAAGTGCCTATCAGCTGTCTTTATATCAAAGGTTTAGGGAAATAAAAGCTGGATATTTATTATTTTAGTCAAACTTTGTACATCGTAGAACTCCACATGAAAAATGTCTCATTATTTTTGTTGTGAAACAAGAACCAGCATTGTACAGCTAGGTGAACTACTTTGAATGTTATATTGTAGTTGGAAATTATTTCTTCCTAAATTATAAAATTCAGGCCTATTTTCAAACATAAAAATAAAATCTTAAAAAAAAATCATTAATTCAGTAATTAATTCTTATTACTAATACATATTGGAACATCGTGAAAAACTACAAAATAAACTTTCTCATTTTGTTTTGGCAAAATTCAAGTTGATTTTGCCATGGAAACTTAACTCCATAGTACTATTGATTTACGTCGCCTTGTCCTAGGATAACAATTGGCGAACACCGAACATTTTGATCATGTATATGAAGATCGTTATGTATAATAAATAAATTAAAATTGAATTGTTCCTATCACTGAAGTGAGAACAGGACAAAAAATCACAAAAACAAAGAAAAATCGAAATTATAGAATAAGACATTGTCTTCAGCTATACGAAAGTTGTCACTTATATGTAGGCAATATAGGAGTTTCCCCGGTAACAATGGGTAACTTTAGTTGAAATAACGTTTCCCCGGTAACAATGGGTAACAAATTGAAATGTGTTTATTTCGGTTACAATAGGTAACTTGAGTTGAAACGAGTTCATCTTGTTAATAATGTATTACCTAAAATGAAGTGATTTGATTCAGGAAATGATAGGTAACCTGAGTTGAAATGAATTTATTTTGGTAACAATTGGTCACCTGAGTTGAAATGAAATGATTCAGGTAACAATGGGTAACTTGAATTGAAATGAGTTTGACTTGGTAACTATGGGTAACAAGTCGAAATGAGTTTGTCCTGGTAACAATGGGTAACAAGTCGAAATGAGTTTGTCCTGGTAACAATGGGTAACGAGTCGAAATGAGTTTGTCCTGGTAACAATGGGTAACAAGTTGAAATGAGTTTGTACTGGTTACAATGGGTAACGAGTCGAAATGAGTTTGTCCTGGTGACAATTGGTAACTTGAGTTGAAATTAGTTTGACTTGGTTATAATGATAACGAGTCGAAATGAGTTTGTCCTGGTAACAATGGGTAACTTGAGTTGAAATTAGTTTGACTTGGTTGTAATGGTAACGAGTCGAAATGAGTTTGTCCTGGTGACAATTGGTAACTTGAGTTGAAATTAGTTTGACTTGGTTATAATGATAACGAGTCGAAATGAGTTTGTCCTGGTAACAATGGGTAACGAGTCGAAATGAGTTTGTCCTGGTAACAATGGGTAACAAGTTGAAATGAGTTTGTACTGGTTACAATGGGTAACGAGTCGAAATGAGTTTGTACTGGTTACAATGGGTAACGAGTCGAAATGAGTTTGTACTGGTTACAATGGGTAACGAGTCGAAATGTGTTTGTTCTAGTAACAATTGGTAACTTGAGTTGAAATTAGTTTACTTGGTAACAATGAGTAACGAGTCGAAATGAGTTTGTACTGGTAACAATGAGTAACGAGTCGAAATGAGTTTGTCCTGGTAACAATGGGTATCTTGAGTTGAAACGAGTTTTTCTTGGTAACAATTGGTCACCTGAGATGAAATGAGTTGATTCAGGTAACAATGTGTTTCTTTAGATGAAATGAGTTTGTCGTGGTAACAATGGGTAACTTTGGTGGAAATGAGTTTGTTCTAGTAAAAGGGTAACTTGAGTTGAAATGAATATGTTTTGGTAACAATGGGTTACCTGAGTTGAGATGAGTTTATCCAGGTAGCAATGGGTAACTAGAACTGAAATGAGTTTATCCTGGTCACAAAAGGTAACGTCTAAATATGTTTGTACAGTTAACAAATAATAACTGGAGTTGCAATGAGTTTGTTCCGGTAAAAAGTGTAACGAGTTGATATGAGTCTGTCCTGGTAGCAATGGGTAACTTGATTTGTAACGAGTCGAAATGTGTTTGTACCGATAACAATTGATAACTTGAGTCGAAGTTTGTTCCGGTAGCAATGGGTAACTTGATTTGTAACGAGTTTGTCCCTGTAGCAATGGGTAACTTGATTTGTAACGAGTTTGTCCCTGTAGCAATGGGTAACTTGATTTGTATCGAGTTTGTCCCGGTAGCAATGGGTAACTTGATTTGTAACGAGTTTGTCCCTGTAGCAATGGGTAACTTGATTTGTATCGAGTTTGTCCCGGTAGCAATGGGTAACTTGATTTGTAACGAGTTTGTCCTTGTTACAATGGGTAACTTGTTGAAATGAGTTTGTTCTGGTAGCAATGGGTTACTTGAGTTGAAATTAGTATATCAATGTTGTAATGGTTAACCTGATTTAAAATGAGTTTGTCCCGCTGACAATAGGTTACGAGTCGAAATGTGTTTGTACCGATAACAATTGATAACTTGAGTCGAAGTGAGTTTGTTCCGGTAGCAATGGGTTACTTAAGTTGAAATTAGTTTACCAGGTAACAACGGGCAACAGGTTGAAATTATTGTTTCCTGGTAAACTGTGAGTTTATCAGTTCGTTCTGACTCGTTTATAGCTTACAGATGTAGCTGACTTTACAATATTTCGCGGGTTTGTATTTTATGTGATACTGTGTAGAAAAAACAAGACTCGCATACTCTCCACCATGTCCTTAATTAGGCATGTAGTTCATTGAAAACATGTCCCAAACCTCCCGATTATCGTCTTACGAAGTAAATGTGGGATGATGTAGTGATATCTGCTCGTGGGAAACACACAATTCGTCTGAGGTTGACTTTATTTTTTATTTTTCTATATATCTAAATACATCTGCTAACATGAAGCTCTATTCCTCTATGGTCTTGCACCTGAAAACAAAACAAGATTGATCGAATTGTGATCACAGCAAACGAGGTCCTGAGGAATTTATCGCGCAAACCTGAGTGTCTCCGCCTCATGTATAAACACATCACTGTTGGCCATTGAGGAGACTTTGATGTATTTAGATCTTTAAATGACAACAGTTATAGTTGATATACATTAAAAATTGAATTTGAAGAATTCATGGGACATGAAAAGTCTTATTGGTGAATCAGACGGTACGTTCAGGATATACACAGTAAGTAAAACCTGTGTTTACTGACGTAATAGGGCAGAATATAAAATGTAGGTTGTGACAGGTTGTCGGTAAAGGCAGTACCTGTGAGGTCTTATGTGTTCGTACTTGTTTACATCAGAAGTAAATAAACAAAAGCTTTTCAACAGCAAAAACTTTTTAGATTTATTTTTTCCATAAAGATGGAGACATACCAGTACTTAATCCGAAAGGTTCTAACTATATGTCAACGATTTTATTATTTGTCTGGGTCGTGGTCGGCCTACCATTCCTGCCAGTTTCGCGAGAGTTTACTTTTTGGTTATTCCCGTAAACTGGTGGCCATAGAAAATATGCTGGAAAGTATAGCTGTTAGAAAAAATGAGTGAAAAATTCTTACAGGTTTCAACATCTAATAACGTTAAACATAGTATAAATATGTTTTTATCTTTCCATCGATGTATGATGATTGATAACTATCGCCCTGTTATAAACTATATAAAACATTGTCCGAGTGCCTATCTGTCGCTGTTTTTGAGAACACTGTTGTAATAAAGGTTTGTTTTCATTTCTTCATTCATATTTTACATAAGTACTAATAAGGTTACACATGTTAATTTTGCACACAGGCATTATTTATACATACCAATATGTCAACATAATCTTAATCCAAAGTCCAATTCATTAAAACAAGGCAAAATATAAACAAAAGAAAGATTTATACGGAGACTCCTGAAAAATTACATGAAGAATAAGACCCGGAGAATAAGCGTCCTCCGCTTTTAGACCAATCAAGTAAGTAATATCACGTTTTCAAATGAGAACAAATTTATACAACAACTAAACCAACAAGCAAATTAATGAGCATCAAACACGCCCAGCTTTCTATCGCACAAAGAAAATTATAATTTCTCAATAAGATCACTATGACGACCGTTAAAGTTTTTTTTTATTTTCATTGTCCTGCATCTTTGGAACCCCTATATTACGAGTTTGTCTGTCAGTTGACAACTTCATGCATGAAAATAATCATGATAACGTGAGCAAGCCCTTGAATATCGAATCAATTACGACATGTAAACACCAGATGTTTTGGAGGCTGGTATTATTGCTATCCAGAAATGGAAAATTCACATAAAGGGGAACTGAAATCATCACGAGGGTTCCGATTGCCTTTGTACACGCGTGTCGTTGATGCGCGCGTGTCGGGGATTAGAACCCCTGCCACGGCCGGTAAACCAAGTGTGAAAACATATCTTTTTAAACCGAGAAAACTTGTGTCGGATACCGGAAGAGTCCAGTTGATACTGTGATATATCTTTAGAACTATTTAATGAATATTTCAGTTCCGTCGGATCTGGCAGATTTTGACAGAAGTCGGTTTAGTCAGTGGTCGATTGTCAGGTTTCACTGTATACAGAAACACAGATATCGGTATAAAATGAACACCTCAGCCAGGACAGACAAAAATTGTTCTATTTCACCTATTTTAACCCCCGCTGCAAAACTAAAATTTACATATGTGTAGAGAAAATAAAAACTGATAAAATGAAAATGAAAACAA